ATAATACACATTGCTGAGAGTAATTCACATTCAGAAGTTTATCCTGAACAGACAGCCCCTTTGCATATGGGAAGCATTTGGAGCTGTGCAAGGAAGCGTGGAGACTACTGCTAGGAACAGTTCAAGACAAAAGGGTTTCTGGCTTTGACCCAACCAGCTCAGACTTCCAACTCTGCTGATTTTAGTTCTAGTCTTAACACAAGCATTGTTAAACCACAGTTGCCTAGCATGTACAAGATCTTGGTTCAGTTCAGACCTGCAAAGAAGATAGAGGAGGAATGGGGCATGGAAGGTGAATAACATGCCAAGTTATTCACGTAAGTCTATATCCACTGAATGCCATACAATGACCCTTCGTTGGCTTCCTATCCCTCATGGAGACAGTGGCAATTCATGTCTTTAGCCACTGTTTTATGGGCACACTAACTGAGCAACTGCTGTCTATAATTATAATAGAAATGCATGTCTGACTTCATTATCTCAGGTAAGAGCAGCCAAGGAAATAATGGCTACCCTGTCCAAGCAGATAAAGATTGTCTCCTAGGAACAAGAACACGGCTTGCTGTTTATTAAGAATCTTAGCCAGGCACAGTGTCGGATGTCTAATTCTGGTACTTGAGAGACGGAGGCAGGATGGTCAGCTTTTGTTTTGTTTTTAGGTCATTACTTGAGACCCTGTCTCACAAAAAGCAAAAACCAAGGGCCAAGTGTGGTGGGGGCACATCTTTAATCCCTGCACTTAGAGACAGAGACAGCATCTCTGTGACTTTGAGAATAGTTTGGCCTATACAGAAAGTACAAGGCCAGGCATGGTTACATGGTGACACCGTTCAAACAAACAAAATTGTAAAAATGTATCAGTGATACAGCACTTTAGCACTATTTTAGAGGCCATGGACCTCTCTGTGGTCTCTAGTATATACCTTTCCAAAGAATTTTTCATGAGTGTTTTGTCTGCATTTATATCTATGTACCAATGTGGGTGCTAGGAACTGAACCTGGCTCATTTTCAAGAACAAGTGCAAGTCTTAACCGGGGAGCCAATTCTACAGACCCCCTCACTTTTCATATTCTATGCATAAGGGTGTTTTGTATGTCTGCACTGCATGTCTGCCTGCTGTTCAGGGAGGACAAATGAGGGCACCATCCCCTGGAGCTAGTGTTAGAGATGGTTGGGGACGGCCACAGAGTACTGGGAATTACACGTGGTTCTCGGGAACCAGTCTTAACTGCTGAGCCATTTCTCCAGCCCTTCAGTGCTACACACTATACTATAACTGAAGCATTCAAGAATTAGAGACAACAGGTCAAGCTTGAGGTTAACCTGGGCTACAGAAACCCTGTCCACACATTTGTTAATAAGCAGAAATGGGAGTGCTGCTGAAATAGTACTGAATGCAAATATCTGAAGATACTCAGGGTCCCAGGTGATTGAGAATAAATCTAACCAAGCCTTGGAACAGAAGTAAGTACAGTGCTGAAGGCTAGTGTGAGTATAGGCGGAAGGAAGCCCATTGTATCACAAATTCAAGTTCTTGAAATGACTAGTCAGCTGTTCTTGTCCAGAAATAGCAACTCCAAGATTAAACACCCATCTCCTAGAAACAGGTGATGTCAGGCAAATGAGTACATTTCACATTTTTGAAACTGGTAGAGAGATCCAGGATAAAGTAACATATGGCTTCAGCAAATGACACAAATGAGGCCCAAAGCTAGTGTGCTTTTTGCCTCATGGGAGGCTGGTTCAAAGTAGGTTTTCCCTTAATTAAATATTTATGTTACAGACAAAAACAGCAAGTGATGGTGTGTGTGTGTGTGTGTGAGGTTGTTTTTCACTGTGTGGATGTAGCTTGGCTTGCAATTGTTTTATGCATCTAAGAGACAAAATGAATGGCCATTAAATATTAACCTTACATGTTATAAGTAGATTGTTCCTGATTAAAGTACAGTGCACATAGACACAAGATCTAATAAACAGAGGGGGAAGCCAGGCTCAGTGAAGGACTGCCCTTACAGCATACAAACATTGTGAGGTGCCATTTACCTGCTGTCCACAAAGAAATATATTTGAAGATTATGACTGAAAGTTCTCCAAATTCTAATATGACCTTTCAAATGAGAACTTGTCATAGAAAACTACTTCAAGGGCAATATATTATTGGTTTATCTGAAATCTGGAAACATAGAATGATCATGAAACTTTTATCCCAGCCCTCAGAAGCAGAGGCAGGTGGATTTGAGTTCGAGGCCAGCCTGGTCTATAGAGTGAATTTTGCAGGACAGCCAGGGCTACACAGAGAAACTGTGTTGAAACCATGTTCCCACCACACACTACCCCCCCCCAAAAAAAAGATCATACACCATGTAAAAATTCTTTATATTTGTTTATTTTGATTTTATTCATGCTGAGCAATGTATATAATTATAAAATTCATTTGTATTTCAATATAACTAAAGCTAGTCCATTCAGTTTAAGGTCCTTTCATGTTTCTTTTGATTTCCACTAATTCTGGAAAAAAAAAATGCTTTCAAAGAATTATAATTCACTGTTATAGTCAGGTCTTGGTCTGTTAAAATACATGAAGGTAAGCTAGAAAGAGCTGAATTTAGCTCTTTTCTTTGCTCTTTTCCCTTATTTTTCCAGGTTGTGCTATAAATAATGATGAGTGTTGGGCTATGTGTTATTTATTATGAACCCTATTGATTATCACAGTGGTATCATGTAACCCACTACCAAAAATAGCAAGACACAGACCCTTATTAGATTTATAATTGCCTTATTTACCTTGGGCCAGCAGATATTTTCCTTACACTGTCTCAAAATCCTCATCATCCATCTCCCAGCCCCCATCCAATGCCATCCGCTTTAATCCTCATCTGGTCTACCTTCCATCCAAAATCCCATGGTACTTGCTTGTATTCTTCATCTGGACCTTCCCATGTCATTATTGGAGTCCTTTCTCCACAATCATGGACACCCCCACCCCCAACAGTAACCCACTGTCATCCTCCTACCTCCTCCTCTCTTACCATTTGTCAAAAGCCCAGGAACCTTAGCCACACCCACCCCATTCTGCCCTGCCCTGGTATTGGTTCATTTAGTGAACCAATCAGGCATGTTTTAGGCAGGTTTACACAAACAAGGTTGGGTGTATACAGTGGGCAATAATCAGATCTTGAGTGCCAATAATTACCATTGGACCAACCTCCAACAAGGTTTTTTGTTTGGTTGGTTTTGGTTTTTTGGTTTCTCTGGGTCTTGCTTTGTAGACCAGGCTGGCCTCAAACTCACAATTAGCCTGCTTCTGCCTCCCTGACTGCTGGGATTAAAGGTGTGCAATATATAATCAGATGTTCAGCCCTGAAAGCATATATACAAATAACATTATAAACTGAACAGGTTGCATTTATTTCTTTAGATATGTGTATGTATGTATGTGTAACAATTAATGAAAAAAAGAGGCCATGTGTTTGAAGAGAGCAAGGGGGTAAGCTTAAAGGGAGGAAAGGGAAAAATGATGTAATCATAATCTTGAAAAATAACTTAAATTTCTTAAAGATTCTCCTTCCACACTTTTGCGACAGGCTCTTGATATAGTTTTGACTGCCATTGAACTTGTTATGAACTCCAAGCTGGACTCAAACACATAAAGCTTCCCTTTGCCTCCTGAGTACTAGGATTAAAGGTGTGCACCGCCATGCACAGCGAAGATACCCTTTTTGTTTTTTCCAAGACAGGGTTTCTCTGTGTAAAAGAGCCCTGGCTGTCCCGGACTTGCTTTGTAGACCAGGCTAGCCTTGAACTCATATATCCACCTGCTTCTGCCTCCCCAAGTGCTGAGATTAAAGGCATGCTCACCATGCCCGTATCTTTTAAACCTGTGTGTGTGTTTTGGCTGCTCTTTCAGAGGACCTAGTTTCATTCCCAGCACCTACAAGGCAGCTTACAAATGTCTTTAACTCCAGTCCCAGGGAATCCAACACTCTCTTCTGGCCTCTGTGGGCACAGGCACACATGTGGTATAAGAGTACAGTTCTTTGCTACTTAAGGGATGATGGATGCACTTAGGAATAGATTCAGCTCTTGCTTTGGATGCTAGGGATTTAGCTCAGGCCTTCATTCATATGCCCTCAGATTATCATCCTTAATTTCACTGATTTTCCTTTTTTCAGCAAGCCTACCCATCTATCCATGCTACAAGACTGCAATTAAAGTTTAGATAACCAGAGTGCCTCAAATTTTAAGGAGCTATACACACTTGAGAATTCTAGTCTTTGATGTATAAGTCAATGTTAGTTGTACTGAAAACTATTTTTGTGCCAATGTTCATGGGATGTCCCAGAGAAGACTATAGAAACAGGTTCTTTCCTTCCATTACCTAGCATGGTACTGAACTTGGTCAGGCTTGGTGATTAGTGCCCTTGCCTGCTGAGCCACCTTGCCCAAAGGTCATTTTTTTGATACAGATTTTGTGTAGTCTTCTGGTGTCAACTTCCTATATGCTGGATTACAGGCACATACCTCTAATGCCTGGTACTGTTTTGTCTTTGTGTTTACCATCTGGCTCTATTGGTCACTTCTAATGCCAAGTAAATCTAGAACAAGTACTGATTAAAAACCAAGTATCTACCAAAAAGCATGCTGAATATTACCGAACATTTCCAGAGGAATAATAAATGAAGAGGTATCTACTTAATGTCTAAATGCCTTCCTTGTGACTCCCCTCCCCTGGCGGGTGGTGGGATGCACATTGGACGATGGACAGACAGGGAGGGTCTTTCCATGTAGTCCTGGCTGCTAGGAACTCTTGCTTCCTCCTTGCCTCAATCTTCTGAGTGATGGGAACAGAATCTTATTTGCCCAGTTGCCCTGAATTTCTAAATCTCTAGTTTCTACCTCCTATGTGATGAGATTACAGGTATAAACTATCATACATGGATTATAGGAGACTCTGTCTCAAAGTAAGACAACCCAACAAATGCCACATAAAATAGACATCTTACTATATATAAATTCTTTTAATCATTACTGTTTTTTACTTAACAAAACAAAACAAACAAAAAAACAAAACAAAACTGTCTTAGAAATACACTTCAAGAACCACGTGTGCACTTGGGTGGCAGAGGCAGGCAGACTTCTGTATATTCAAGGTCAGCCAGTACTAGGAGAGAGCTACAGAGGTAGCTCAACAAACAGTTTGCTCCTCTAGAGAAGAGCAGGTACAATTCCCAACACCTACATGGTAGGTCATTACCACCTGTAACTCCAGTTCCAGGGGATCCAACACCCACTTCTGGCCTTTGTAGGCACTCTGAATACTATGTGTTGCAGAGACATGCATGCAGGCAAATCATCTATACACATAAAATATACATTAAAAGAACAATCCCTCCCCCCCCAAAAAAACACCTATAAGAAAACATTATTTTAAAACAAAACATGGTTTGAAAAAATCTGAGGTCCTTTAAGGCATTCCTTCTGATAGCCACAGGGAGTGTATTCTATTTAGCTTAGATAAATGGCTAATATTATATTACATTATAATATTCACCTATAGTGAATATTTGACTATTATTCCACCAAAATAAAATAAAGCAAAATAAGATTTGATAGTTGCTGTTTTTTAAAAATTTCTTTAAATACAGGGCCACTACATAGCCCAGGCTGTCCAGATAGTCAAAGGTTGTAGACCAGGTTCGCCTTGAACTCAAAAGAGATCTGATTGCCTCTGGCTCCCAAGTGCTGCAATCAAAGCGTGTGGCACTATACCTGGCAAGTCTGCTTTCACTAGAATAACCTGACACACAAAATTTACCTAGCTCTCTACACACAAAATTACCTAGCTCTCTCTTCCCTTTGTAGTGTATCTCAAACTGAGCACTACTGGCAGATGGGCCTGAAAAATTCCTTGTTGGGGCGTTCCTACAACATGCAGGATGCTGAGTGACAACTAAGACTCTACCAACTAGATGATGAATCAATCAAGAGGACACTTTTAAACTTCTAAGTATTATCAAATGTGCTCTGTAGAATAAATTTACCCCACTAAAACCCATTGATTTATGGTAAGTCATATTTCCTGTCTTTTTAAGTCTTAAGCATCCACCAAATTCTAAAGGAACTACACAGGCTAATTAAAAAAATATTTTTAATTATGACTTAACTTAAGGCATCAATCATACTGACAATCTACTGGCTCGTTACTAAATTGTACATTTTGATATCCACTCTTTTTTTCACTTCTCAAAATTAATATAGAAAGTACTCAGGGCAAATAAAACAATTAGCTGAGTGCAGTAACAGTACCATTAAGACTATTAATTAATATAAATCCTAAGCATAATGCTAGCTACCTTTCTATTGCTTTCTTAGTTGTAGGTTTTAGATACAATATCTCTTTTTTTAGTTGTAGGTTTTAGATACAATATCTTTTGGATTAATTGCATTGTTTCTGAGACTATCTAGGTCTCATTATGTAGTCCAGCCTGACCTCCAACTCAAAATTTTGGGATTACTGGAATATGCTACCAGGCCCAGTATATGAATAGATTTAACAAATGTATTTAAAGACTGAAAATATTTAGTTCAAAAGAATTGCAAAAATTAAGCAGCATGCTATTCTGATATATACCAAAACTGAAATGAACTATAAAACTAACAATTCTATAAATAAAACAAGTTTTCTAGATATTTCAATAAAAGACATTTAGTAATTACATGTTGCTTTCAATTAAACTGATGAACTTTATTGGGGTTAAAACTATAACAAAGTTCATCCTAAAAGATTTTGCAACGCAAAATTCTTCCACTCAGTGAGTATTTAATAATTTGAATGCTAGAAATTACAGGCAATTTTCAAAAGCAGACTCACATTCATAAAACTTTATACATCATTTGAACTAACATATGTTTATACTACTAAAATCAAACATGCATTGCCTTCAAACATTCCTGTATCATGATTTTTAATATAGTACATTATTTAACACCACTCCTCATCACCAAATGCACTGTATCATACACTGGAACCATTCTCCTTGGATTTCTGATCTCTGTCTTCATTCTTTATGTTATCCTATAAAACAAAATGAAAGAACAACTTAATTAGTTTATTTTTAAAAAATATTTATTAATTTTACATACACAATATATGTCTGCAGGCCAGAAGAGGGTACCAAATCTCATTATAGATGGCTGTGAACCAACATGTGGTTTCTGGGAATTGAACTCAGGACCCCTGAAAGGGCAGTCAGTGCTATCAACCTCTGAGCCATCTCTCCAGCCCCTAATTAGTTTCTTATTAATCTGAAATTAGCTTAAAGTAGTACCCAATGACTGAATAGTAAATATCAATAAATTAATTTTAATATGTTGCTGCCCAATTTTTCCTTAATTTTAGTGGTTTGTGACAATCAACTCAGAGCTAACCAATATTTGGTCTAGTAAGTATATATACATAAATAATTTGCATATTATATGTAAGTTTCAAAGGAAAAGTCACTTTGGTAATCACTTTTGAATAGTTTTTAGAAGGCTGATGTGCTAGGAATATTATAACTATTTGTTTCTAGGAAAAACCAAAAAGACATTTCATTGAAAATGCCAGAAATTGATTTTAAAGATTAAATAAACCATGAAAACATAGAAAAGACAAAGTATCTGACCTTTTTGAGGACAGTGTGGATATCATCCATGACTGTTGATAAGTTTCTGAGAGTTTTAGTCAATTGGTTTTCAAATTGCAAATTCATGTTTTCTGAAACCTTCAAGTTTTCTTGTAACTGACCCAGGTCTTTTTTGACTTCTCTGAGTTCACCAGAGAGGCTTTTGTTAGAATTCTCCAAGTTTAATATAGTTTTTCCATCTTCATCTGTTATTAAAAAAAAAAATCAAAATACATCATTTTGACCCCATATGGTAGAAGGAGAAAACCCACTCTCTCAAGTTGTCCTGGGCCCCCCTGGTGCATGTGCCTGCATACATACACACACGTAATAGGAAATAAATCTAAGCTATGCAAATCAAAAGCATATGGACCTGGTGCCTGTAATTCCAGTTATTCAAGAGGTCAAGGCAAGAAGATCCTAAGTTTACAGCCTGCATTGGCTACAGAATGAGTTCAAGCTCAGTGTCGGCTATTTACTTCGACCATGTCTCTAAGTTAAAGTTACAATACAATGAAGATTTAGGAATACAGCTAAAAAGCAACACATTTACCTAAATTGCATGAGGCCATGATTCAATCAATATTGCAACAAACAAATACTCCCCCAACAATTCCAAAAATTCTGTGAACTATTTATAGAATTCTGTGAAATACTACAGTTATAAACCATAACACAAACCAGGTATGTTGGCACACACCCATCACATCAAGCCCTCCTGAGGCTTAGAATACAGGACTGCTTTGAGTTTGAGGCCAACCTGAGCTACATAGTGAGTTCCATAATAAGAAGCAAACACACCTAAGAGGAGTAGACAGTAGGAAATAATCTAACTCAAGGCTGAAATTAGTAACTTAGAAACAAATAGAATACAAAGAATCAAGGAAACCATGAGCTGCTTCCTTGAGAAAAAGCAACAAGATAGACAAACCCTTACCCAAACTAACTAGAAGGTAGATGGTAAGCTAAAAAGTGAGACCTTGTCTCAAAAACGACAAAAAAAGAAGTAAATTATCAACAGTTTTAAATAGTGTTACTTTTAATTTCAAGTTCTTTTTAGTTTTGTTTTGAGACAGAGCTTCAATGAGTAACTGTCTGGCTGTCTGGAACTTGTTATGTAAGACTAGGTTTCTTAAAAATCACAAAAAGCCACCTGCCTCTGTGTCCTGAGTGCCTGGCTCAAGGTTCCCTTTTTTAAAATCATTATTATTTAGAGAAAACAGAGAATGGTAAAACCTATGCAATACAAGAAAAGGTTAGGAGATGAAAAGAGGTTAGTAAAGATCAAAAAGGTTAAGCCTGTGTCTCAGGACTACAACTGCAACACTGGAAGGCTACATAGTAGAACCTGTTTCAAAAGCTGGCATATATAAAATGATAATCAATGTTATATATGAGCAACAGAAGTAATGAAAAGTAAAGTCAGGGGCTGACAAAATGGCTCAACAGAAAGATCATGTACTGTTCTTACAGAGGACCAGAGCTGCTAGCACCCAAGATGGGATGGCTCATAGTGGCCTGTAACCCCAGCTTCAAGGAATTGGGATCCGATACCTCTACTTGGGTGGACAGACAGACACTGGTGCACATATGCATACATACATACACATGCATGAAAGCACACACGTACAAAACTAGTATTTTTGCCTCTCAAACTGACAGGGTATAGCTTATTTGTGCAAATGCCCTATGCCATGTAAGTACTTTGTAAGTATTACCTTGGCCAACGCTATCCTCACCTGTTTTTTCTTCTAGTAACTGGAGTTTCTGTTCTACCTCAGCTCTTACTTTTTCACTTTTTTCCAATTTTTGTAAGAGACTTCCGACATCTACCATTGCACCGTTGTACACGATAAGTCCTACATTTTCTTCTCCATCTTTTGATTCCTGTTTTACTGTTGGTGTTGGAAGTAATAATCTGTTTCCTAGAATATAAATTTTTTTTTTGTTTAGCAACATCTGAAATATATTTAAAACAACAACAACAAAAGAACATGATCTAGCCAGTGTGTATTGCATGCTTGTAATATCAGCATTAAAGCAGGAGAATCCTATGTTCAAGGCCAGCATGGGCTATATAGATGGACTTTATATGAAATAAAAATTAAAGAAAAAATAAAATAAATCAAATAAACAAGGCCCCAAATCTTAATATCCTCAGACCTAGCATATCCTCCTGTAATGATGCTGACTCTTCATGGTTCTCTTCATCTTTTGAGGTGTCTGTTAATTTCCGATAGAAGCACGATTCTCGGAGTACTACTTTATTGAGAAGTTTCTTTACCTATTATGTAGACAAATAAACAGTAAAACGAAAATACTTTTAGTTTATTAATTACACAAGCAAGAAAACAAATGAAGAAAATAAAAATATTCTTTTTCACTGTAGTAGTGAGCTACAGCCTCATTCAGATTAGGTAATGGATGTTCCTGGGATCTCCAGGTTGAAGCAGATTTCTTTTCTTGTAGTTCTGTCTGCTTCTGCCTCCTCTAGGCTGGAAAGATAGCTCAGGCACCTGAGGACACTGATTGCTCTTCCAGAGAACCAGTGTTCAAATCCCAGCACCCACATGGCAGCTCACAACTGTGTAAGTCAAAAATCTAACACCCTCACATTAGACATACATGCAGGCAAAACACCAATGCACATAAAATAAAAAATTTAAAAAAGGTATGTGCTACCATGCACACTGGCTGTGAATTTATTTTTTCCTGTTTGTTTTGGCCCCATGTCTGTGCAGTCACATGACTTTCAGGTACCCAAGGAGGCCAGAAAAGGATGTCAGAACCCCTGAAACTAAGAGTTAAAACAGTAGTGCACTGTCTGATATGGGTGCTGGGAACAGAATCTAAGTCCTCTCTAGGAACACTAAGAGGTCTTAAACACTTTTTTTGCGCTTTTGATACTTCTCTGTGTAGCCTTGGCTATCCTGGACTATATCAAACTCAAGAGATTCGCCTGTCTCTGTTGGGATTAGTTGTGTGGTTCTTAACCACTTAAGAAAAGCACATTTCTTGATTCTTCTAGAACTGTGTTGTAATTTTGAAAAATAACAGTATCCACTGTGATCACTTTCTCAGCTGTCTACTACTAATCAGTTTAGAATGTTTAGAATTTTAAGCATTTTCTCTATAAGTTGAACATTTAAGTCATTAAAAAAAAACCTTTGGAAGTGTTTATTTTCTATATGTATGGATATACATGTGCAGAAGTCAGAGGGCATCTTGTAGGAACCAGTTCTCTGCTTCCAAAACGTGGCTCCCCAGGATCCAACACACAATAGCCTTGAGAACAGGAACCTTAACCCAATGAGCCGTTTGTTTTTTTGAGACAGTGTCTCTGTGTAGTCCTGGAACGAACTCTGTAGACCAGGCTAGTTTCAAACTCAGATCCAACCTGCCTCCCAAGTGCTGGGATTAAAGGCGTGTGCCACCAGGTATACAATGTTCTGTCTGCATGTTGCACCTATACTCCAGAAGAGGGTACCAGATCTTATCATTCTAGATGGTTGTGAGCCACCATGTGGTTGCTGGGAATTGAACTCAGGACCTTTAGAAGAACAGCCAGTGCTCTTAACCTCTGAGCCATCTCTCCAGCCCATGTTTTGATTTTTTAAAAAAAGGTTTATTACGCATACAAAGTCTGCCTATATGTATGCCTGCATACCAGGAGAGGGCACCAGATCTCATAGATGGTTGTGAGCCACCATGTGGTTGCTGGGAATTGAACTCATGACATCTGGAAGAAGAGACAGTGTTCTTAGCTGCTGAGCTATCTCTCCAGCCCCAGTGTTTTGATTTTTAAGATGGTTTTGCTATATATCTCAGGGTGGTCTTGACCTCACAATACTCCTGCCTCACCCTAAGTGCTAAGATTACAGGTGTGATAGAAACACTAACTCAAACTTTTAAAGTACAATGATGTTTAATTCCAAATAACAAAAACTAACAGAAAGCTGGGTATGGTGGTGCATGCCTTTAATCCTAGCACTGGGGAGGTAGAGGCAGGTAGATTTCTGTGAATTTGACACTGGCCTGGTCTATATGAATTCCAGGACAGCCAGGGCTATACAGAAAAACCCTGGCTCAACCAGGTGTGGTGTCGTACTCTTTTGACCTTGGCATTCAGGTAGGCAAAGGCAGGAGGATCTAGAGTTTGAGTACAGCCTGGTCTACAAAGTGAGTCCAGGATAGCTAAGGCTATACAGAGAAACCCTGTCTCGAAGAAAACAAAACAGCAACAACAAAAAACCCTGTCTTAACCACCCCGAAGAAGACTAAGTGAATTATGAAACAACCATATAATAGAATTGTTGGAGGTTGGTCTGGTGTGGTTACTAGCCCTCAAGATCTGGGTATACCTAACCCTGTTTTGTAAACCTACCTGATTGGCTAATTAAACAGCCTATACCTGGGCAAGGCAAAAAAGGGGTAGGTGTGGCTAATGGTCCAGGGCTTGGAGAGAACAGAGAGAATCACAGGAGACAGATAGACAGGAAGAGAATAAGAGGGGGATGCCATAGGGGGTTAGCCCGGAGAAAAAACCACATGGGACCAGGAGGAAGACCTCCAATAATGGTGTGAAAAGGCCCCAATGAAGAATAAAAGCAAGTATTTATAAGATTATGGATGGAAGATAGGATGGTTAAGGAGGATGGCATTGGATAGGGGCTGGAAGATAGATGGTGAGGATATTCAGACAGTATAGATAGGAATATCTGCCCAGCCCAAGGTAAATAAGGCAATTATAAATCTAAAAGGTGTCTAGGTTTTATTATTTGTGATAGCAGGTTAGATAATACTGCCATGATAATCATAGGACTATAATAAACATTTTTTTAATTTACTGCAACATAGAACGTTAGGCAGATATACCCAAGCACAAGGTTTTCAGATGTCAGTCACTGAGCTCTGCTATATTCTATTTTTATGATAGAACTAATGGTAGATTCGTGAGTAAAAAAAGGTTTCATCTATACACACAAAGGAGTTTGATCTTCTGGAACAATCATGTAAATATGAGTAACATAAAAAGTTCTAGAAATGGTTATAGATTATATTAGTCCTGCAAAAGAGAACTAGAGAAAAAAGCCTTCTGTATCATAAGAGGAAAAGAGGGAAGGAAGGACGGAAAGAATAAGCGATTTTAAAAAATGGGGGTCTCTCCCAGCACTCTGGAGGCCGAGGCAGAAGGATCTCTGTGAGTTTGAGGCCAGCATGGTTTACAAATCAAGTTTAGGAGAGGCAGGGCTCTGTTGCACAAAGAAATCAAATCATGACATCTGAAAACAACAACAAAAAACAACCAAACAATTTCCAGTAGGTGGTGGCACATACCTTTCAAGCCAGCATTAGGGAGGCAGAGGCAGTTCAATCTCTGAGTTCAGAGCCAGACTGGTCTATAGAAATTCAGACCATCTAGGGCAAATCTTCCTCAAAAACCAAAAAAGAAAGAAACAAAACACCCAAAACAATCAACTGATTTTTTGATGTGTTAGTGTATGTATGTGGGACACATGTATGTGGAAAACTGACTAGCACTAAAAGGGGTGTTAGATATCCTGGAGCTAGAGTTACAGGTAGTGTCAGCCATGTGATCTGGTTGCTGAGTACTATGGGTTCTCTGCAAGAGTACACTCTTAACCACTGAGCCTTCTTTCCAGCCACAAAGATAACTTTAGATGAAAACTTTCACAAGCTGGCTCTCGCATTCTATCATTTGGGAGCCAGCTTGAACTACAAAATGAAACTCTTGTTTCAAAAAATGGGTAGCAACTGACAACAGTGGAAGAATGAATTTATTGGAATTCATAATAAATGAATTTATTTAGTGGAAAGGAAACCTCAATAAAAGGATCTAGGCTTATGGGTGTAACTTAATGGAAGAACACCTGTCCAGCCATGATTGAGGCCCTAGCTCTATCCTGAGTACCATAAAGGAAAAAAAAAATCATTAAAAATTCCTTTTATTTTAAATTTACAAGACCATTACCTGAGCCCGAGAAAGATGCAATCCAAGAGTATATAGTATTTCTTCCAAATCCTTTTCAAGGAGGTAACCACAATGACTTTGATCAAAATAAACAAAAGCCATTAGGAGATCCCTGTTAATTGTGACCATCTGAGGCTTTTCTTTTTCCTAAAATGCACAGAAGATATAGTATACAGATTAATATAAGTGCTTTATAAACAGCCTGAATTTCTCATTCTTTCATGGTAGTAAAAAGATCATTTCATTTTGGCTGAAATGAGTGGATTTTGTATATCAATATAAAAAAACAACAACAAAGCAACAGATATATCATTATTTTTTAAAGAACATGCTATTCAATAAGTACCTTATCCTAAGAAAAACTGAGAAGAAAAAAACACCTTATCTTTACATGGTCGCTCCTTGCAGTATCGGTTGACATCTCTTTTGTCATCTCGTTTGTTTATTTCTTCCTCTTCCCTATCTGTAAAACAAATGTAAAAGAAGAAAAACTTACTCTTCCAGACATTTTCAACTATTGTAAAAACCAAATTACTTTTCCAGTACAGAAGTTTTCAAAAGATGACATAACAGGTGTATTAAAATCACATAAAAATACAAAGTTTTGATGTTGTAAGGAAAAGTTAAGAAAAAACAAGAGGAAATTTATAAAGAAATTCCCAGCACCCACATGGCAGTTCACAATTGTCTTAATGTTAGTTACAAGATGCGAACAATACAGATACGTATGTGAGCAAAATATCATATACTGAAAATGAAATTCTAAAATACTGGAGGAAAAAAAACCCCTTTGTCCTCATTGAATCAAACACACTTATTTCTATAAATACCTTTGTAAGAGTTCGTGTGTGCACAGATGTGTTCTGTGTGTATGGAGCCAGAGGCTGACTTGGCTAGGGTGGCTAACTAATGAGTTCTAGCCTAGCCTTTAAAAGCCTAATACCTGAGCTCCATCCCCAGACCAGAAGTTGAGAACCAACTCCTAAAAGTTGCCCTGACTTCCACATGAGCCACAGCAAATGTTCTAAAAGTAACTACAAAGCTACAAACACTGATGAAACAAAAGAGGCCAATACTAACACATATTCAATTATTAATTAAAATAGAGCACCCGGGTGTGGTAGTATGAGCTTGTAATCACAGCTCTCACATGGGAGACTGAGGCAGGAGAGAGTCACCCATAGACAACACAGAATATATAGGCCAGCGTTAGCAACAAATTAAGACTGTCTTTTACAAAAAACAAGAAAATCTCCTAAACTTTGAAAAACAGAAAATACGTAATCCATTCTAGAGTCCCGAGGAAATGTGACACATACCATCTTCTTCATCCTCAGCTTCTTCTGCCTCCATTGGGTCATACTCATCTTGATTATTATCTTCTTCAGTTTCATCATCATCTTTAGAATCATCTTTTCTCTTTTCTTCCTTCTGTAATTTAAAATGACTTAAAATTAAGCAATAAAGACAAGTAAACATCAAGACCATTAACTGAATATATCTGTAACAATTCCAATTACAGATTTCTCCTCATAAAAAAAATAACAGAAATAAGTCTGGCATGGTAGAGCATGGCAGTAATCTTAGCACTTGGAAGGTGGCCCGATGAGAGTGAGGACATCAAGGCCAGGATTGGAGGGAGAAGAAAGAAAAAAGGATAGAGAGAAACAGAATAAAGAAGGGCTAGAGAGTTGAGATCAGAACACTCCCAGCACCCACATGGCAGCTCATACCCATACGTAACTTAATTTCAGCCTTGGGGATCCATACCCTCTTCTGGCTTCCAAGGTCACCAGGCATGCACAGGGAGCATAGGTACACATACAGGCAGAACATATACATTAAAATAAGAAAGACAAGGAAGAGTGGGAAGGAAGGAAACAAATCAGAAGACTAGCTACCAATGTTCAATTAGGCCTCGCAACATGACTCAGGCTAGTCTTGAGCTGATCTTCCTCTTTCAATCTCTGATATACAGGACTACAGGTGTGCAGCCCTACACCCAGCTCTAGTTTTCTGTGAGTCTCATATAGGCTATGTCAAATATCCAACACAACATTTCACATTTTTATCTTGGCCTTTGTTACCATCTAGAGGTAGTAACCAAAAATTTACATGTTTATAGTATATGCCTATACTGGAAATTACAGACCTTCCTCTCATCTCTGTCTTCTTTTTTGTCTTTCTCATCTCCTGATTTTCTCCGTTTTGGTTTTGGATCATCAATATCATCATCTCTTTCTTCTTTTTTATCCTTTCTCTCATCTTTTTTGCTTTTCTTCTCCTTTTCTTTTTTGTCCTCTTTCTCAGGAAGAGAGAGTAATGATTTGTATATTCTGACTCCAAAATCTCTTTGAAGCATTTCATTGAAAAGTTCTGCAAACAATGAAACCTATAAAAAGACAGCAACATTAATAAAAACAAATTCAACAGAAATACTGAAATCTAGCAGTTATTTAACAAGAGAGACCCTGCATAAATAAATATCCTCAAAAGAACCTTTTTTCTTTGAGGCAGGGTTTCTCCGTGTAGCCTTGGTTCTGTATACTTGAATGGCCTCAAACTCAGAGATAACTCTGCCTCTGAAAAGCTGGCACTAAAGGCATACAACCATCATGTCTAAAACAAAATAAATTTTAAGGACAATTACATCATCATGGCCTGTGTAAAAAGACTTTTTTTATTGTTTTTTTTTT